TATGGAAGAAGCTTAAAGGAGAGATGAGGAACAGGAACAGTTTGTAACTTGATTTGGAGGCAGAGGCTTTATTTCCTCTACTTAAAATTACTCATCACTCAGATTGAGTGGGATGGAGTTGGTTTATATACACATATACATCTAAAGGTACGTATCAAGAGGTTATCAGAGGATGCTTATTAAAAGCAGAGGTGCTGTTAGGAAGAAGATGTGTGTGCAGCACCACTATAAGCACTGAGGTTTTGTCATTCCAGGGGTTAAGCATTAGAAACACCATTCACTGTCGTGATCATCACTGAAACTTTTGTCACCAGTTTCATGTTTGAGCAGGCAGTGTCTCTGCAGCTTTGGCAGCCTCCAGAAGAAAGGGTAGGCGTTAAAGCAGCAACCTTCCTAGGTAGGAAATAGTCCACAATGATCTTTTTTTCCAATAGGAACAGTGGGAAAAAATCCTGGACAAAGAAAATGAGAAGATTCAGACGAAAATGTTACGAATGCTGCTTCAGATTTGTCCGCTGTGAAGGGAGGTTATTTGCCAAATCTGTTTCTGTCTAGGCTGTATTGCTGAAGTACAGAAGAGGGAGCAGTGGCAGGAAGGCACATCTTGGAGGAGGAAACAAAACACCTGATAGCTTCGTTTTGAAGTTGCTTCAGGAACTGTGTTTAGCAGTCATTTCTTTTTTCTGCTATGGTGACAAAACGAGGCAGTAGGCAATAGTTAATACCACATGACTCTCAAATTTCACTGCAGTATTTTGAAAACTTGCTAGCCCCAGGTTAATGTGTTTAAAAAGTGGTACTTGAAAACTATCGTGGTTTTGGTTTTGTTTTTCCACAGGGAGAAGCGGTACGTTTAGCTCGGCAGCTGCCCTTACATTTATCAAAAGAAGATGTGCAAAACACAATTTACAGGATGAAGCAACAGCTTGGAAAGGAAAATAAAGGCTGTGTTCATGGTCGTCCTTTTTTTCATCACTTAACAGATATTCCAGAAGTTGACAAGCACAACTCCTCGGAAATTATTCAGTAAATGGAATGTTTTGTTTGGGATCATATTTCTCTTGCTTGATTTTGATCATTACTCTGTAATTTCAGTATGTTTTGTGCAAAGCTTTTGTATAATGACTTTTCATTGTCATATGCTTACCTCCTAGAGACTATTTAAGTTCACATGCTACTTGAAAACTGGAAATAAATACTGTAGAGAAACAACTCACTGCTATTTTTAAAAGAATTTATTAAAGAAATCTTCTCAACTGCTTTGATGCTTTTCTTATTGCTGCAGGTTTAGAAAATCCCCGTATGTCATTATTTTTTTCGGATGTGAAGTGGTTAGAAGTTGCTTTCAACAGAGCCTGGCAAAGTTCATTGAAATAAGGATGTGAGTTGTTGATTTTCATAGGAATGCCAGATAGCTGTAGGTGTTGAAAGGTGGCATTGCCATATGCAGTTATTTTAGTTACACTTTTATGGTGGTGTATTTCTAGTTGGAAATTGTCAGCTTGCGTAAATGAATTTTGAAGTCCTAATGTCCAATCTCTGAAAAGTTGGGGGTTTTTTTCCACTCTTATGAAAGTGTGACTCCTAAAAGTACAGTAAATTCTTAAAACTTCAGAACAACACGACCTGGCCAGTGACCTGAAAGATGAACAGATCCAAGCCACAGGAGCACGGAGCAGCGTAATGCCACTAGCTGTGTGTTGGTGCAGTGCTATGCACAAACTGTTTGGGGGTGGGAAACATAAAACGTGACATAAGGGCAGCGTCTGCTACACGGAGAGCTACTGCTTCCAGTAAACTAGTTAATTTTCTTTCTACCAATGTGTTTACTCCTATACGGAAGTAGGCTACTATTTGAAATAACGTTACCCAGTTATGCTTTCTGTGTGGAGCAGATGCCGTGTCTCTGGAGAAGGATGTTTGGAAAGTTTCAAGAAAGAACACCTGAAAAATTCTCTCCATGCCCAGCTGTTGCTCATGAAAAGGGAGGGGCAAGACGTGGTTTAGAGTGTTTCTCTGGCTCCTGGGTAAAGGGTTGAAGGTTACTGAAAGACCTGAGTTTGTGGACAAGGGCACGGGACCTGACAAGCAAAGGTACAATCTGAAAATGCAAATTACTGACCTATTGCTCTGCATCAAACAATGCTGAGCTGGCAAACTTACGCTGAGAAACCGCATCGCAGCAGTGCACGACAACCTACAGACTCTGAACTGAAAGCTAATGATGATGGGTTTGTGCTGTTGAAGTAAGTTTATCCTTTTCGCAAAGAGCAGGGATGATCGGAGGGCACAAGCAGGATGTCTTTCCAAACTTAACCGGTGAGCAAGGCACAAGATGAGAATGTCACTGCAAAACCGGACACTTGTTGGCTGTAAATGTCACTCGGTGCAGAAGATGTGAATTTTTAGAATGGAAGCGAGAAGGTGGATGGAGACACAGGAAGGAGACGTGACTCTTGGCTCCGAGGGGGAAACAGGATCCCAGCCTTGCGGTGGATGCAGAAGGTTGTGGTTTGTTTATTTTTATTCTTGTTTGGATACAAACTGTGAAAGTTTGGAGAGTAGCTGTTACAGGGAGAAAAGGCAAGCTGGAGAATGCAAGCTAAGTGTGCTGGAGCTTAAGTGAATACGTGCACTGTTTTTAGGCAGTTGGGAATATCATATGTAGTGTTTAACGAGCTTAAGAGTTGCTAGTTCTTTTCCAAAAGGTGAAATAACTGCATCCTGGTTATCCTGGAGCAATTGCTAATATCTTTGATAAGTCAACATCAGGTGACTTATATAACAGTACCGTGGCAAACTCCTTTGACAAGTATTCAGGCCCTAGGATGAGGATAACAAGTAAATTGATTGTTCACAGGTGCCGAGGTGGGTTTAGTTACTGGGGCAGCAAACGAGTGCCAGGCATTGCTGTGGGTGCAGGTGCACCTTGTTAGGCGATTGGGCTCTTCCCTCCTGCACCGCTGCCTTCCCTCCTCCTCTCCTGGCTGGGTTGCTGTCCTTTCTCTCAGAGGGCTGCTCTGGATTTCTTCACACAGGTACATCGAGTTGGTTTTGCGTCCCTGTGGGAACGGTTGCGTGGCTGGGTGCCGGCAGCACGGCTTCGGAGCGGTGAGTCCGGGGGGCTCCCAGAACCACGGGATACCTTCCCGTTCTGTTAAGTGAGGAACCCCACGAGGCTTTCTGGGGAGCGCGCCAAGGCTGCCGTTGCGCTCGGTCTCTCCCGAGTCCTGTGGACTGTTTGAAAGGAAGAAGAAAACCTAAAATGCATAACAATGAGTTGACTGGGTTACTGGGTTATCGTCGTACTTGACCTTAAAGGCAAGCCCGGCAGGGCAGGAGCTGTCCCAGTGCGGCTCTTCCCACTACGAGTGGCCAGGTTGGGCCATTTCAGGGGACGTGGAAATATTTGCGCTGCCCTCTGCTGACATTATTACTGCAGAGTTTTGTGCAGGGTGGGCAGCTCTGAGGTTCACCATGAAGGAGCGTCAGTCCCTCCTGATTTCCAGTCCCCAGCAGGTCAAGATGTTTTATCGCTTATGACGCTTCTCGTGATGTGCAAGTTTGCCTTCCAAAAATAAGCCTGCTTTTCAGGTCTCGGAGATTCTAAGTGATAATCGGCAGCTCCCCAGACTGAAGCGTAATTCACAATAAAACTTCAAAAGCCTTTTGGCTGCACGTGGCTTTGCATTTTTCAGAGGTTAGTTTGTACGGTTGGTGTGGGCAGGTTTGGTTCTGGTGGTGGATTTGCAGCTCAGGTGTCTGCCTCGCCCTAATTCTGAGCAGCTGCTTATTATATTAGCAGGAGACTACAAAATTTCAATTTTCTGTGTAAATCTCATTTAAATAGAAAAGAGATGGGTTTTTTTCCTGCAGATAAATATTGAGTATAAACATGAAGTTGAGGTAACAACTGTCACATATTTCTTTGCCGAATGTATTAGAAATCTTAATAATGAAGTTCCTGTTTCCACTCGGTTAAGAAATGCGTGTGTCGAGGGATTTAGAGTATTTGTGGGGATTTTTTTTCTTCCTTTAGTGTGAGTAGCAGCAGCTCAGAGAGTAATAGCAAAAACAGAGGAATGCCTAACATCGGGAGCACTTAGCAGTCACTAAAGTCTGTATGATATAATTTGTTATTTGTTAAAAATGGATTCTCCTTCTTCTGTATTACCGTATTCCAATATGGAATATTTAAAATATCTAGCAATAGAATCAATACTCCCAAGCAACGCTATTTAGTTTTGCCTTGGTCTCAATTTGTGCAAGTGGTTTCGCTTCTTTTTTTCTTTCTTTTTTGTCTTTTTCTTCTTCCCTACATACACAGTGATATTACTGTCATGAAAGTACACATCAAGGAGCAACTCTTCAGGTTTTTGGAAGGGCTATAGTATTGGGTATCCAGAGTGTGGTTTATCTACTGTAAAGAAGCCCTGGTTCTAGTTTGGTAGTGGGGTTTGGTTTGGTTTTGCTTTGTTAAACAAACTTGTAATTCCAAATTACTTTTTTTGGGCTGCCATAGCAATAATGAAGGATTCTTGAATGTTTTGAGGGGGTTTTGTTATTTATTTTTTTTGACCTGGCATTTAACAGGCTGCATTTGCAATTGGAAGAAACTTCAGCTCCATCCATTTAATTTCTGCAAATGGAAAGCTCCCAGAAGTAGCTTTTCCCCCCACCCCTGCTCTCGCGTAGGATGGAGTATCATATCTGAACTTATGGAGAGCAGAAATGTGGAGATGTTAAATCTTTTGTTAATGGCTTCGAATTAAGCACACATTGTTGCAGATGATTTGGAGGACTTATTTAAAGTAAATATACAATTTCAAGCTCAATTATCATTCATAGTTGAAGCGAACAGAGGGAGGTATTAGGTCTGTGAATTCGATACAGTGTTACTTCATGATTACAATGCTTTTTTACAGCAAATTTGATATAGAACAGTTGCTAAAGGCAAGCTGCTGACTAGTGTGACCAACCATTTTATGGGACACATCTGGTGCATTAGTTCAGGATGTGCCCTGCAGAAGAACAGAGCCTTTCGCACAAAACGAGAAGGAAGCTAACTCCACATGTATACGTTTCTCGCGGACATGCGGAGAGGTTAAACAATTACGAGTTAATTGTGTAAGCTAATAGGAGGGGTGTTCATAATGTCATTTCAAAATAGCTACGGGGGAAATGGAGGAGAATTATCGCTGTAAAATCTCAAATGAACGGTTTACACCTGTTAATGTTACATTTAGAGCAGCTGTTTCTTTTATTATCAGTAAACAGATGCAGAAAGTAATGGAATGTTTTAAAGCAATATGTTAATCCCATCTTCCACTACTGAACATTCTCACAATATCGTGATTAAATATTAACTGTAATGTTGCTGTCATCTGCAGCTACAGAGTTCTTCCGTTTTTTTTAATCGCTTTTGTATCTGAAGATGTAAATGTTTGCCCAAAGTTATCGTAGTCTCACTCATCAACCCACCATAAGTATTTTTGCACATCAGTAATTTTATTGATGATTTTAGTGGGCTGAATTACTCGGCCGAAGTGACTCTGATTTTGGTTTTGCTCAAAAGTTGTTGCCGTCTTTGTTGTTTCACCCTGAATTTGCAAAATCAATTGGACTCCATGATTTTAAAGATCTTCTCCAACCTGAGTGATCCTGTGGTTCTATAAGGAGAGAAAAACCTTGCTCCCAAGGGCCCAGGCCAACACACATTTCACATAAACTCCATATGAGCTTGTCTGGTGTTAGAGGTGAAGCTTTAGTAGACCGTGCTTGGCTAGGTCCAGCACTACAAGTTGGGTTAGTACCAACCAGGAGAATTTCTCGCTTAGCGCATGGAATCTTTTGGTTTATGTGAAAATAATTTGAATCGTGGTTCATTTATTTTCTGTGTGTCTTACGACAAATGTATTGCACTGCTAAGGTTTTGAAGTTAAGAACAGCTATGGTTCAGACAGCGGCAGGGTGGAAAAAACATACCTTGAAACTGCAGATGCAATACCATGTGTATCTAGGAAAAAAAAATCACAAGTAATTCAAAATATTCAAAAATTAGTGCTTAAGATGACCTGAAGTTTCCTAGAAACCAGTACCTGCCACTGTTCCAAGGTGGCAGCAGTAGTTCTTCAAATGGAAAATATATGTCTCAATTTTAGAGCAATAGCATCTGTAAGTGTTCTAAAAAATGCAGCATTTCAATGAAATAACGTGCGATTGTGGAGCATTACTAACTCAGCACTCCAAGAACGGA